CGTAAGGAATGAATTAAGCTGCAGCTATCTATAATAAAAAGATATGAATTTACGACGTCGTATAAACTCTTTAAAAAAATATTAAATTTTTTATAATAACATGCCAATATGTAGAAGATATAGTGTTTCCTAGGCGGGTACACCCATATATATTGCAATGTATAATCATTTATCGATACAATAAACAATCAGTCTTAATTTCTATCTAAATAAATAATATTCGTAGTATAACGAAGGCAAAAACAGACACAATACATTATTTTACAGAATACAATTAAAACGGGAAATTATTTACAATGAAATAAGTTATGCACCTTTTCTAGAAGCACTTACGAGTGTTTTAGATTACACCTATATTCCCTGATTTTGTTTCTATCGTTTCGTTCGTATGCTGTTAGGCCTGCGGCCGTATGAGGCGTCTTTAAAGGGTAACTGTATAATGTTATAACCTATTATTCATTGTGTGGTTATAACCACATTTTAAATCTGTAATTTTTTTAATACTATTATGAGACTACAGAATCGGCCCACAGCTATTCTCGGTTACATCATGTTCGTGATAGAAGCCTTCACATGGCTTTATTAATTAATAAACCACTAAATGAAATAGGATAGTGATCCCACGTCTCAACTAAAATTAACGACTTCTGTAAAATACTCAAGATATCTTTAGAGGCTTGGTGCTCATTTACATACTACAAAAAATTGAAATGCACATACGTTTAAATGCCCTCTTTTAAATTTCATACAGAAGGAACAAAACATTCCTAAAAATTGTACTATAACAGCTAATATTGAACAAGTTCACTAAAGTGTCAAAATATAATAGTCAACCACCAAGTACATGAGGTCAAAATGTGAAGTTCCCGCGAAGACTCCAACAAGTCTTATTGAATTTATTTTCTTTGGAATCGTTCAGTTATAAATTTGAATGAATGAATGAATGAATGAATGAATGAATGAATGAATGAATGAATGAATATACTTTTATTGTACACCACGAACAAATATACAAACGTCATAACAAAATCAGATTATAATATGTACAATTTGGCGGCCTTATCGCTACATAGCGATCTCTTCCAGGCAACCAAAGGTGTAAAGTAATACAAACAATGAATAGGTAGGTGGTAGGTGGTGCAATATAAATATACAAATAATAAATGCAAAAAAAAAAAGATATAAATAACTAAGTAATACATGAAATAATATAAATTACTAACACATAATAAAAGATAAGGTAACACATATAATATATACATATACATACACATATACATACATATATACATACACACATATATATAAACATATATACATAAATATACACACAACACGTATATATCAATATATATATATATATATACAAAATTCCTCAAACAATAATATAAAACTGATAGATACAATAAATACATAATCACACAATCTATCCTAACGGTCTCCGAACGACTGAGACAAGTAATGCTCTTTAAGTAATCGCTTAAAGATAACAATAGTTTGTGCCTCACGTATATGCAAAGGTAGGGCATTCCAGAGCTTAATAGACTGGACAGTAAAAGATTTATTGAAAAATGATGTATTGTGAGTTGGCACACTTAAAATGAATTTTCTAGAAGAGCGTAAAGGTTCCCCCGGAAGCCCCACAAAATTAAACTTCTCCTTTAGATAGGGAGGAGTAGAAGGGTGAAATAATACACAGTACAGAATAGAAAGTATATGCATGTTCCGGCGAAGTCGGATAGGTAACCACTTGAGACGTGAGCGAAATTGGGAAATATGGTCAAATTTGCGCAATCCAAATATGAACCGAATACTAGTATTTTGAAGTCTCTCAAGCTTATTTAGCTGGTCCTCAGTTATGTCTACATAGCTTGCGTCAGCATAGTCGAGAATCGGAAGGAGAAGAGACTGTGCGAGCATAATTTTTGTAGGAATGGGAAGAAATGATCGAAGGCGACGCAGTGAACAAAGAGCGACAAAAGTTTTCTTACTTACCTCATTCAGTTGGCGTATCCAATTTAAGGAATTATCAATATAAATACCAAGATTTTTGACATTGTCAAAGTAAGGGATAACAACTCCATCGAATACGATAGGTGGTACAGAGAACCAGTCAATTCTTGAGATAAAGCTCTGGCTACCAATAATGATAGCCTGAGACTTTTTAGGATTGACATTTAGGCCATATGATTTACTCCACTCGTGTATAAAATTTAGATCCTTATTTAATGTAGCGATTGCATTCGGCAGATTCTCAAGAGTTGACTGGGTGTAAATCTGGACATCATCCGCATACATGTGGTAGAGAGAGGATATTTTATGAGTGATTGAATTAATGAAAATGGAAAAGAGTAAAGGTGACAACACGCCGCCCTGCGGCACGCCTGCAGTTATATCACACCAAGATGAGTGAGTTTCATCGACACGAATACACTGCCGACGGCCACAGAGATAACTTTGAAACCAGTCAATTACTGATGGAGATATGTTAAGGGAACATAACAGACTCAACAGTATATCGAAGTCAACAGTATTGAACGCATTACTGAAATCCAGCAAGGTCATGACTGTGAGTTGTTTATTATCCATACCCCACCGTATGTCATCAGTAACTTTGATTAAGGCAGTAGCCGTACTATGACCTGGACGGAAACCGGATTGTAAGGAATTCAATAAATTGTGCTTATTAAGGAAAAGGGTCAGCTGTTGGCAAATAAGTTTTTCAAGGACTTTAGAAAGGAAAGGTAAGATCGAGATGGGACGGAAATCAGAGAGGTTGACGGGATTAGATTTCTTTGGAAGGGGTATAATATGAGCACTCTTCCAGGCTTGAGGGAATTTAGAGGAAGAGACACAAGCATTGAGTAAATAAGTGATAATGGGAGTAATAACATCAAGGAGAGGAACAATCATATTACGGCTAATGTTGTCGCTACCGGCAGCATTTGCGGAGATGGATAATATGGTCTTCTTAACATCACATTCAGTAAACTGACTAAAAACGAACGGAGGATAATTAGGAGTCGGAATTACAGAAAGCGAACGAAGTGTTTGCAGTTTATGTTCGCTATCAAAAGAGTTAGAAGGATTAGAAAAATGTTGATTTAATAGTTCAAAATCAACACTAGGAGGTGAAGTATTTAGGGATGTTCTACCAACTCCAACTGTTTTGAGAAACTTCCACACCCTAGATGAGTCGCCGTTCTCGACTGATGTATGAATATGGCGTCGTTGCGCATCTCTACACAATGTGTTGCATCGATTCCTGATTTTGGCGTATTTCCTTACGTTTTCCTCTGTTTTATTCCTCTTAAGCTTTGACAATGCCGCATTCTTCTGCAAAATAAGCTTCTTCAGATCATCAGAGAGCCATGGAGCAGGTAGGTGTTTAAGTCTCACATAATGCATTGGCGCGTGGACGTCATAAAGCTGAGTGAGAAGAGAACAGAACAGTTCCACTTTATCGTCAATGCATGGAGCTCTCTCGATCACTGACCAGTCAATATTATAAGCATCTTCACAAAGTTGTTCAATATCCATTCCTCCAAAATTACGTCGCAGAACTAATTTGGGTTTGATTTTAGGAGGGCGTAGTTTATACGAAAGAAAAATTAAATCGTGATAAGAGAATGCATCAGCAGGGCACTGTCCGTGCTTGAAAACTAAATTGGAAGATGACACCATTATTAAGTCAAGAAGGGAAGGAGTACTGTTAGGAAAGTTATGAGTAGCAGAAAGGGGTAGGATTTGCATATTACACGCTTCAATTATAGCTTCAAGTTTTATAGATCGATTGTCGCCTTTAAGCAAACAGGTGTTAAAGTCACCCATCAAAATAGTGTGACTATACGTAGGGACTAGTGATTCTAAAAGAGATTCAAAAGAAGTAAAATAATTTATAGAAAGGGAGGGACTGTAGAAAACTCCAAGTAGGATTTTATTCTGAGACAGGGAGACCTCAACCAGCAAATGCTCAGCAGAATCAACAGGAGGTGGTTGACTTGACGAACTAACAATTTTAAATGGAAGGTAGGATCTTAGATAGATCGCCACGCCCCCACCACCCCTATTAGTGCGGTCATTTCTAATTAGATGAAACCCAGGCAAAGAATAAGAAGTGGAAGGCAGACAGGGTTTTAGCCAAGATTCTGAAACTAAAATGGCGTGAATATTTTGGGATTCAAATGACGCAAGCATGTCAGGATAATGAGCCGGAATGCTTTGGGCGTTAATATGAATAGCATTAAAGTTATTCACACAGTCTGAGAAAAAAGAATTTAAGGTGATGTTGAGTGAAGGAGGAGCAGTTGTACTGTGATAACTATCATCACTAAGTGTCCCATCGTCCGAAGACAACGATAGAAACAAATCACTATCGTTACAAATGTTTGAGGAGGCCATAAATATTAAATTAAAATATAAAATAAATTCTTATATACACTAAAAAAAAAAGAAAAAAAAAAATATAAATAAAGATCGAAAGGTACCTATACTATTACAACCACCAGCAGCATGAAAGAGAAAGCACATAACAAAACAACAACTTAAAGAAATAAAACAATCAGTTTAATATAAAAATTACCAAAACCTTGCAGTCTGACGCCAATAGATTTTAAGACATTTTGAAACTGTAAACGTCAGACTAGGCAGTATGGATTAAGATGCCTTTGCCAAAGTTATAAAATAAAATAAAAAATAAGAAAGAAATCTGACAACAGGTAACAACTGTCACTGTTAGTATAAATAAAGGTATTTATACGTAAATATTATTAACAAAAAATATAATGATTAATTAATCTACCAGTTATGTGAAATAATTAAAATAATTTCAGTAACAATGTGTGTTGCAGTGGAAACCTATTATAAAACTTATGTCTTAAAAATGAATGGCAAAGAATTATAATTAAAACCTGATTACCTAAAAGTTACAAAAATATAAGAATTGAGCTGCTGGAGTAAATTAGTAAAAACAAAATCATAAGAAAAACATGCCACTACCATCATTTTTTAGCCGTCTTCCCAGCCCTAGCAGTAGTAACACAGGGCTTGGGAGCCGAAGATGCCGCCGCCGCCGTCGCCGCAGTCAAGGATGTGGTAGTAGGGACACCACCAGCTGCATCAGGAATGGCGATCACCTCAGCCACGGTGTACACCCGGTGCTTCGTGCCGTCGGACCCAAGCACCACAACATATCCATCGCGTGTCCAACACTGGGATACACCAAAGCGCTTCCGAGCAGCAACAAACGCCTCATGACGACCCTTAGTCATGAACTCAGATAGAGTCTCTACCTCTACTACTCTCTACTCCGCTACCCTTTAGCTTGGTTTTGGAAAACCAAACTTTGTCACGGAGATCCTGATCTTGAAATTTCACGAGCAACACACGAGGCTTGTCGCCACGGGGGCGCCCTAAGCGATGGCATCTGGTAATAGAGTCCACACTTAATTCAGGGATGTTCAGCCGCTCTGATAATACCTTACTTGTGCAATGTACTAGGTTCTCATCTTGAGCTTCTGGCATTCCATGGACAAGCAACATCTTCCTCCTGGTCCTTACCTCCATTTCATCTTGCTGCCTAGAGAGAAGCTGGAGCTGAAGTTGCAGATTCTCAAGTGCTGACAGGACGAATGCCCTAAATGCATTAAATTGTGCATTAATATTGGAAGAAGGGCTCGTTGCAGGGATGGATGTTCTGACCTCCCTCTGGAACTCATCCATACGTGAAGTGAAATTCAGTGTTAGCTCTTCAATTGACTTCTTAAGCAAATCCATTTTTAATATTCAATTAAAGGTTACTTAAAGGTCAATGTCAAGTGACAGTGAAGTGGCAAAATAAGTTTTAAGTTGTGCAATGAAAAACAAATTATTAGTAAACAATGCTGGTGGATTTATGTAATTACAGGTACATTTATATACTTGATTGTTCTAAATTTACTATAATTAAAACTTTAAAAAATCAGGAACGATTTTAAATATGTCAACACAGTTTTGCGCCTACCCACCGAAAAAAATTTGCCAGTGTCAAGTAATAAAAAAAACATTTTTATTATCGTGTTAAAAACTTCTTTACAATATGCTGATGCGTCACGTTACGTAGTTTTTGGGAGATTTTTACGACAGCTTAACAGAGCAAACAGTTGATGACACGGCGCCTAAAGTTCTGGAAGCGCCGAAGCAGACTTTAACTTTGGATTTATATCAACATCGGAGCACTTGTTCCATCGTTTCCATTAACAGTTCCCATGCGCAATCAGTTAACACACAAAGCCCAAGAATTGCCACTTAACTAACTTTCTTTCCCGATGGTTATGGGTTTAGAGTATATAATTACAGTAGTATAGAGCGCGCGCAACGTTTTTTGAACGGGTGAGAACAACACGACGTTCCCACCAGTGTGACCATATGTGACAGGTTCCTGCCATTTTGACAGGTTCCTGCCATTTTGACAGGATTGGCCTCTTATTTTAGCCTTTGGCATGATCGGTTGATGTTTTATAAAACCTTTCATTATGGCTATTTAAAATGCCGAAAATGGCAACCCTAGATACTTCGCCAGCATGTGGGGGATTTCCCTGTATTTTTCGTATTATGTTTGTATCACATTCAATAAACAACTTTATAAGCTGCAAATTGGCACCCCGGCTGTCCGCTTTAAAGGAGCATACCGCTACTGGTAAACATAAAAAAAATATGAGTAGATTCAGCATGCGAAAGAATATTCTCTCAAATAAAATTAATTAAGACAAAACACGAAACAGATTTTTAAACAAACATATGTTTAAAAATCTGTTTCGTGTTTTGATGTTTTCTATCTTGCACGTTAAACAAGGCATTGGTGAGCATGGCGATTGCATTGCATTCAAACCAACGAAATATATTATGTTTAATTTAAAAAACATTTAAATGTGTATTTTTAATTTTCATTTAATGCAATGGTAAATAAAGTTGGCATTATTTAAGCATTTTTCACTACAGACTTTGACAGGATTTGGCAGGTTTTTAACCAAAGTAAGACAGGATCTGTATTTTAAAGATGGTCACACTGGTTCCCACCGCGAGTGCTTGTAGTCGTGCTTGAGCTTGAGTGCTAGGAGTGTGCATTCCTCCAAAGATTTTTTTCATATTTTCGTATCAAAATGGTCAAATGTGCAGTTCGATCTTGCAAAACGATACTAGGAAAGACACAAAACTGAAATCCAGTATCACATTTCATCGGTAAGTCGATTTTTATTCTTTTATATTTATGATAACAAATCACGCATCGCGGGGGTGAAGGTGACGAGGGATGCGGGCACGCACAGGGCCGCGCGACCAACGCTGTGTGTAATTGATATTTAAAATATTTTTTTGAAATGTTTGCTAAGAGAACTTAACTACGAGTACATACTATATTTATGTAACTTTAGCACTCAAAATCTTATTTATTATAAATGATTTTGATTTGTGATTTGTACGATATACTTTCTAACATTTTTAATGTGATAACGTAAACTTAAAGTATTGAATGTTACGAATCGTAATTGATTGCGGTTAAGGTACGAAGTAGTAAAAAATATTGATATCGCAATTTTTTAAAGGTAGACCGAAAACGGTTAAAATTCAAAGACACGCAATCGGTATAAAATAACGGTAGCGCTATTTTTAAAGACTTTTGTTACAACTTTGTATAACTTTTACATAACCGAAATTATTTCGGTAACGAAAAATATCGCACGGCGCGGATGTGTACGACACGACGTTGCTACTTCTCTCACCGAGAGAACTTGTAGCGTCGCTGTCGCTAAGAGATTCTCTGCGACTCGGAGCGGGAAATCTTCGCGAGGTCAGCCGCGAGCGTCCGTCAGTTAAGTACCAGTCACACACACGACCACAGGGATATCGAAATCGACATTGCTTACACTCGCTATCACCTCGATTCGCCTCGTTGAAGCTAAACGATTGATTTTATACCTAATAATTTTAATAAAATAATAATGGGAAGAAAACGAAAGAACGCTGTGTACGTTTTCTTTTCTTTTTATAAAGAGACTAGAACTTCTACGTGGTTAGTCCCTTTTTTTTTAGGCAAACAAATATACGACTCACCTGATGGTGACTACCGCCGCCCATGAACAACCGCAACACTAGGGGAATTGCAGGTGCTTTGCCGGCCTTTTAGAAAGGTTCTTTTCTTGAAGGTCCCTAAGTCGTATCGGTCCGGAAAAATTGCCGAAGGTAAACATTTCCACAGAGAAGTTTTGCGAGAAAGAAAACTTCTAGTAAAACGCCAAGCATCGAGATAGTGAGAATGGTATCGTGAATTTTGAGGCGATGTGCGTTCGTCAAATTTGGCAGCTGGAATTAATCCGAACAATTCCTCAGAGCACTCCCCGTGGTAGATGCGATAGAAATTGCAAAGGGATGCAACATCCCTACGCAGTGCCAATGAGTCGAGCCGATCGGAAAGGACTCGGTCGTCGACGATTCGAGCCGCTCTGCGCTGGATGCGGTCAAGTGGAAGAAGCTGGCACTGGGGAGCCCCAGCCCAGAGATGGGAACAGTATTCCATGTGAGGCCGAACCTGCGCCTTGTAAAGTTGCAAGCGATGTGCCGACATGAAATACTGTCCCGCTATGCTATTCATGCCAATCTTTTTAGAGGCCAAATTGACCATCCCTTCCAAGTGACCACGAAACTGCACACTATTCGATATATCGACGCCTAGGATTCCGATGCTAGCTGAGGCAGCAAGGGTTCCTTGAAACTGAGAAGATACGACAAAGGGGTTCTTTTTAGCGGTAAACGCGCAAACTTGTGTCGTCTGAGGATTGAATTGGACCAGATTTAGTCGCCCCACAATCCGAGACTTTGTTCAGCAAATACTCGACTTCAGACACAAGTTTGTCCGGTACTCGACGGCGTTTTCCCGAGAAATATTGGCACGGCCGGTGTATAAGGCATCACCAGTGCTGTCGTCTGCATAGAAATGAATGTTACTAGTTTGCAACATATCATTGATATGCAGAAGAAACAGTGTTGGTGATAGCACGCAGCCTTGTGGAACACCAGCGTTAATAGGCTTGTAATCAGAGTATGCACCATGTATGTATGGTGATCCAATTGCACAATTTCTTGGGAAGCCTATAGGAAGGGAGCTTCGAAAGAAGCACTTTGTATCAGACCCGATCGAAGGCCTTCGCTATATCCAAACTAACGGCCAATACCTCCCCCTTGGACTCTACTGCCTCCACCCGTCTATGAGTCAGATAGACCAGAAAATCACCAGCTGGTCGACCCCAACAAATACCGTATTGGCGATCACTAATCAGCTCGTGATCCTCAAGGTACCGCATGAGCTGGTAGTTTATAATGGATTCCATTATTTTGGAGAACAAGGAGGTGATGGTGATAGGCCTGTAGTTCGACGGATCTGAGCGGTCGCCTTTTTTAGGGATCGAGTGGATCAAAGCTGTCTTCCATGAATTCGGGACTACGCCTTGGGAGTAGCAGTACCAGAAAAGACCCGTTAAAATCGGTACCAACTCCGGTGCACACGTGTTCAGCACAATGGGAGGGACTCCATCATGTCCACTCGACTTGTTGACGTCCAGGGAGAGGATAGCTTTGCGAACCGAGCGCTGTATAAACCGGACATCCAGCACGGAGCATTCACACCGCGGAATGGTCGGCGGTGTGTTCCCCCCGTCATCCAGAGTCGAGTTGGAAGCAAAAAGAGAGCCTTACAGATCGGCTTTCTCCTTTGCGGCATGGGTCAATGAGTCGTCCTCTCTGTGCAGAGATGAAAGAGATGGCTGACAGAAGTTCCCTTGGACAGGCTTGGCAAGAGACCAGAATGCATGGGTTTCCGAAGGAAGGCGAACTAGCTTCTCGCCAAATATGCCGATGTGTTCTGACCTTGCCTTGGCAATGACTCTTTGAAGTATCTGTAGGTGGAATCATACTTCTTTTTAAGAGGGCTGATGTTTACATCCCTAGACGTTGATGCGTCAGCCCAGGCCCGGTAGCACTCTTGCTTATAACGTGATGCTATTTTACAGGAACGACTAAACCATGGCTGGGATCTCCCTCCGATGGGCACCACCGAGGATGGAATAAAAGTTCCACAACATCAGCGACAGAATCATCAACAACGCTGGGATCGTCTGGCGAAAAGCAAACCGCCCCCAAAGCTAGAATGCAAAAGAAGACCGCATCTTATCCCAATCGGCCGAGTTATAGTGCCAAACACGGCGCAGCCTGCAGAATGCAACCGCGACGTTAGTGTGAGTGGCACCACACTCCGGAGAAGACAAAGGTCCAAAGTGCCAAGAGGGGCGTCGACGAAAACCTGATATCCGTGAGAATGAGAGGTCAGCAGAAGGTCCAACAGGTGCGTGATCCTCCACATCTAGAATAGGGCGCGTAGGCGAAGTAACCAGCTGTGTAAGACAATATACCAAAGCAAAGTCATAAACAGATCTCCCCGAATGATCGGTTAAACGTGAACCGAGGCATTCGGCGTGATGGACGTTAAAATCGCCAACTATCACGATTTCTGCGGATGGGATCTGTTGTAGCAAGGAATCTGTAGTCATTTGGACGTGATCGATGAGTTGCCTCTGTTTCGGCATTACCGCTATGGAACTTATCACCCGTTGACGAGGGGATGGTCGTCGCTGTCTACGTGAAGCCATAGGATGGATACCTTCAAGATTGCCGAGGCATCGAAAACAGATGCCCTCTCTGACAATACGCAAACTCCAGTCCGGGGACAAAGGAATGTTCTAATTTGT